AACATAAATAAATAAATAAATAAATAAATAAATAAATGAATAAATGAATAAATAAAGGAATAAATAAATAGATAAATAAATAAATAAATAAATAAATAAATAAATAAATAAATAGAAATCCAGACTCAAACTCAACTCTTATTTTATAGAACAGACAAGATGACAATTTAGGGAATGGCTTGATTTCGGTCTTGTAACTGCTGGGACGTTTTGTCTCTCTCAGCCCGGGTTTGGCCCTGACAGGCAGGGTCGAAATCCGCCTTCTATGTAGTATATATTGTGTCGATGGGGACGTAAAACACCTACATAAAGGAAAAGAAAAGAAATGAGAAGTGTCTTGTAAAAAAAGAGAATTTAAAAAACAAAAACAAAACAAAACCAAACAAACAAAACAAACAAAACAAAAACAAAAGAGAAAACAGAAGGAGCAAATGTTGAATTTATTTAAACTGAAAAACGAAGTCACATATTTTTAACCAGCGCCGGTGGTGACACATCGTGACCCCAGAGCTACAACTAATCATGGTTTTAAGTTGGAATGGTTAGTCTTTGTAGTTAAGAGTGTCTGGGGGTATACCTCGTAATCTATCTACGTCATTTTGCAACAGTCATAACTCCTGATGGTTTATTTCCCTGAGAGAGCCCCCCCCCCTCCTTTTCCTCCCCCCTCCCCATTAATTTCGTTTTTAATTTGAGGCAGATATGATGTAGTGTGAGAGAACTTGGAATTGTTAATGTCGGTAGTTAAGACAAAGTTAAAAGTCTACAATGCTGTTGTCCCACCAACTCTTTTTGCACGGTGCTGAGATACGGAGATTGTACCAGGGCCACACCAATACGTTTAATCATTTCAGCATGGGGTGTCTCAAAAGAGTTCTCGACGTCAAATTGTAGGATAAAATACCAGACATAAATTAAATGTCTTGTAGGCTGAAAGATGAATGCCAAACTATTTCCTAAGCTTAAAAGGACTCTACTCCTCTGGGCTGGCCATGTCGTAAGAACGTCTGATTTCAAAATTGTAAAAAAATGTACAAATAACAGTACATATTATTGTGTTTTCTGTTCTGAGCCGTCCTCTGGGAAGCATCTGTCTATGTCCTCCCAAATAAGCCAGCTCAGCAAAAGTATTTACTTTCAGCTTAAGAAAATTGGCAGTGTAAGAAATTATTTAACTAAAGCAGCAGCCAAGACACTTGTAACAACACTCATTTTATCAAAGTTAGATTACTGTAATGTTATTTTGTCCGGTTTGACATCCGAAAAACTATCAAAGTTACAAGTACTTCAAAATCAAGCAGCAAAATTGATAATGAAACAAAAGAAATCAGCTCACGTAACACCAATTCTGAAAGAACTACACTGGCTGCCAATAAAAGAAAGGATTAAATACAAAACTGCCGTTCTCTGTTTTAAATGTATAAATGATAGTGCACCTTTTTATCTTAAAACATTCCTGGAATTATATAATCCACCTAGAGCCCTTAGATCAGCCTCTGACAATCTAATTCTTAAAACTCCAAAACAAAACTACAAAACATACGGCGAGCGTTCCTTTTTGTTCTTTGGTCCCCAGGTATGGAACGAAATCCCATATAAAATAAGATGTGCCCCAACAATTTCCATTTTCAAAAATCAGCTGAAGCATTTTTTATTCACAAAAGCATACCTGTCATAATGATGTACTGTGATATATATGCATGTGTATGCCAGACTGTGAGACTGAAGAAATAGCGAGTGAGAATGAGAGAGAGAAAAAGAGAGAGATAGAGAGAGAAAAGAGAGAGAAAAGAGAGAGATAGCGAGAGAGGGAGAGAGAAAGAGAGAGAGATAGAGGGAGAGGGAGAGAGAGAGAGGGAGAGAGAGAGAGACAGACAGACACACACACACGAGAGAGAGAGAGAGAGAGAGAGAGAGAGAGAGAGAGAGAGAGAGAGAGAGAGAGAGAGAGAGAGAGAGAGAGAGAGAGAGAGAGTGGAAATGTTTTTCTATCTGTATAGAATTAATGTTTTAATGAATGTTTCTAGTTACTCACGTTTCAACTGTATTTTGACTGTTCGTGAATTTATATTGCATTGTATATTTTTAGTGAACACATTTTCAACCTCACTGCGAGACTGTTTTTCTGGTATAACATTTTACACATATGCATTTATATTATATGTATAATACTTTGTTTTACGTACACATTTGTGTCGATTAATTTTTAAGATGTGATGTCTTTTTCATTGTAATGCGCATTGAGCATCTTTTAGGAAATGGAAATGCGCAGTATAAATGCTATTTATTATTATTATTATTATTATTATTATTTAGTTGGCGCACACAAAAAAGGCAAGTCACATGAGGCTTCTCAAATTTAAAAAGCCGAAAAAAAACAAACAACAACGGACAAGCTGCGCACATCCACTAGCCCAATGGAAATGAAGCTAAAAATGTGGCAAATTCATCTCTGCCAGAATTGGTTTCATTGACCGTTGCAGGAGTCATACGTCATCATAATTTTTGTAATTAGTGGTGATTGTTTTAGTCAATAAAAAGCCTTATACATGTAATACTTGAAGATTATGAAACACCCGCAATGTTTTGCATAATAGTAAGAAAAACATTTTTTTTAAACAGAAGAAACATTGTTGTTATGTGTACCTTTTTTTTTATTATTGTGGAAGCTGTTTTAGTTCTCAAAAAACATCCTCAAAACGGCGTTTTGCATTTTGGTAGGAAAACACAATGAACTTAATTAATATTGTTGTGGTTAGTGGTAGCCGTTTTTAGTTAGAAGACATTACCATACTTGAAGAGTTTGTTGTTGTTGTTGGATTGTTTAAGCTATGACGTTGAATCATGGATGAATATTTTGGATGGATGTGATGTAGAGAGAGGAAATGTGTTGAGGAAGTAGGCTTTCAGATAATCTGAAAGTATCTTTGTGTGTGTTCTTGTCTTCAATCTCTTGTACCTACGTTCATCTTGCCTTTTTATCGTCATTTTGCTTTTAGACTGTGGGTGGTTGGCGGGTGCTCGTGTGTGGTTTGCTCCTTCTGTCCTATTAAACACCCATCTTCCTTATCTCTCCCTTTTTGTGTTTGTTACTCTCTATAGTAACACTTCTAGTCTTCGGGACTTCTAATATGACCTAATTGTGTTGCAAGTGATGGTAAAACTTTTACTAAAAATCTAAAATTGTGACTGATTCCTATATTTTATGCAGTAAACTAGCCTGGTAAAGTTGCTTGTCAGATTCATTCTTTATACTTTTAATTTCTCCAGGTTGAGAATGACAGAGAAGGCGACTTTGCCGGTGTGAGTCAAGTAGCTCAGTTTGAGCCTGGTAGCTCGGGGTTGACGAGTGTGTCATTTTCCGTCAAAGATGACGACATTCCTGAGAGCGAGGAGATATTTACCCTCAGGATGTACGTGTTCGACCCAAATGTTCGAATAGGAGCGAATAGTCGACTGCGGGTGACTATTGCAGCAAGCGATGATGCTTATGGGGTGTTCGTATTGATTCAGGTTAGTAATAATAATAAATAAATAAATAACTTAATAAATAAATTAAAAATAAATAGCATTTGCATAGCACAAATTCACACTGAACAGCAACCTCTGTGCCCTTTACTATATTATTACGCCAGCAGACCTGGTAGCATTCTGAATCCATCTCAACTTTCTGGGAAGCATACACAGTGCAATGTGCCATGTTTAGAATAAGCGCTTAAACACTGACATACTATTAATAATAATGCCGTGACTGATTACGTGTTTAATTGCTGAAACTGTGAAGAGAAATTATGAGGTAATGAAAAGATTATTTTTTGTTTAATTAAGCTGCTGTACCATCTTTGTTACTTTGAGAAGTGTAGCTTATGGAATTCAGTAAAAAAGGTTTTAAGGTACTAAGACCATAGTGCCAGAAACCGAATGTTGTATCTGCTCTATCAAAATCGTAAAACTCTTGAGTCGTTATGTAGACATTCAAAGAATTGCATTCGAAATAGCTTGACAAGTGGTATTCAACATTTTTGACGTCAAATTTCTCAAAACCTTGTGCTGAGCAGATGGAACTGTGTAACTCTAGGGTAGCGACTTGTCGGTTCAGAACGACTTTAATCAGGTAAAATTTCACGTTATACTTTACGTCTGTATTTCACACAATGCTTTGCATTATGTTTCTCACGTCCCATATCTTATCAGTGAGGTAGGCTATGTCTTTAAAACGAATCTACAGTTTTCACAAAAAGTTAAGGACCAGTCAGGATAATAGGCAGTATTTTCAAAGAACCATTCTAAAAAAAGCAATCAGATTTATCTTGTGAAATTCGGTAGCAAGGCTAAGGGGTCAATAGTGAATACGATAACTACTGTGTGGGTGGCACGTGCGCGTCATGTAGCAAGCTTGGCGTATAAGAAAATCTGCAATTTCGGCAAAACTGGACCCAGTTTCAAACGTCAGTAAGCGATACCTGGGACTTTCTACATGGAAAAAACGAAGATGTACGTGCAAGAATGCACCCCTGGCTATAAACTGTGCTCACTTGTCAGCCTACATAAGCTGCCGTTTCAGCTCTGTTTTACAGTATTACCACGCCAAGCCACATGCCACCATGACAAAAGTTGAACGACTTCGACTGGATCTGGGCAATTGCCTTGCTGCAAGATGAAGTTGGTGTACGCGAAATGTCACGCAGACTTCAGGTATCACACTCCGCCATAATACGGCTGAGGCAGCGGTTCGCGGTGACAGGAAGAGTCCAGGAGCGGATTTGCACGGGTCGTCCAAAGAAAACGACAGCAAGAGAGGACTGTTACATCCAACGTCAAGCCATACAGCAGCGGACTAGCTCAACCAGCGTCATCAGGCAACGTCTACGAGTTGCCACCTAGACCACAGCCAGTTCGCAGACAATACGCAGTCGCCTTCATAACGTCAACCTTCGTGCGCGTCGTACAGTCAGAAAACCTAAGCTGACCCAGAACCAGCGAGAAAACCGTCAAATTATATGGTGCACTGCGCACCAGAGGTGGACACGTGCCAAGTGGACAGAGATCCTGTTTACTAAGGAATCTTGGTTCTCCTGACACTCAGTGATGGCCGAACCAGCATCTGGAGGCGTCCACGGGAGCAGCTTGCTGCCAATACTGTTCAAAAAGTGGTCACTTTTGGAGACAGCTCAATTTAATTTTATTGTTGTTTTTTGGAAGGGGGGGGGGGTAGCAGGCATCATAGAACCCCCCTTTGCCATGTCGACGGTATCCTGACAGGGCAGCGGTATCTACAGGAGATCCTTCGACCTCTGGTCGTCCCAGTGCTGCAGCAAATTGGGCCTGCTGCTGCCCTTCATGACAACACAGGTCCAGGGCCGACAACGTCTTCGTGCTGCGGGGAGGGGGGGGGGGAGATTACCTGCATGGTTTGGCCAGCCAACAGTCCAGACCTCTGCCTTGTCGTGAATTGTGGGCACACGCGCTTCTGACAATTCCGTTGATATTCACGAACTTAAACTGGTCGTTTTCTTTGATATTGCTGAGACTTTTTGAGACCCTTTCTTTTGTGATATTTAATTTCGAGTGTGGGTCCCTTTGAGCGCTGGGAATTACGCTTTTTGGTTTCGATTGTGATGAAATTTCTTTTTTTCCCACTTATGGATTGATGACTTCAATGTACGCCTAAGAAGGAATAATTTGATTTGCTGGTTTTTATTTTGCGTGCACTTTTGCAAGTGTGGTCCTAACTTTTTGTGAAGACTAATACAATAACGTGTTACTGTCATGTCTATAGCAGGCATGGGCAAAATTCAGTCCCCGAATAGTTTCAATCTGGCCCGCGGGTCGACCTAGTAATTAATAATGAATGTGGCTTGTGGTGAGTTGATCATTAATTTTTAAAAAGACGGTCGGTCTTGAAGATCAAAATCAATAATTTCCGGCATAGTAGGAAGCAATAGGTCTGATATTTTATCTCATAAAATGCCCCTGAGTGACATATGTCATAGTGTCAGTTTGAATCTTACTTTTTAAAGCTTTAGTGTTTCAGCCGATTCGATTCAATTTTCTCTTGCCTTGGCCCGCGAGAAAGCTCGGAACCTCTCAATCTGGCCCGCGACTTGTACATGTTGCCCACCCCCTCAGGGCAGTGCTACTGACTGAAGTGTCTTTAAGCTATTCCCAAAAGGGGGATATTCACATATTCTAATGTACAGTACAATTGTAAATGCGCTGATTTATCAGTGTCACGTTCATACTGTGCCGGAACAACACAGGGGGAACTGCTGCTTTTTCTTTCCTCATTCTTACTATATACTTTTTGCCTCTACTTCTTTTGTATGTTTGCCACTCTTTTGTGAACTGCTATTTACGGGGTGCCTTGATAGTCGAAGCAGACTTTGTGCTTTTGAGGCTAGAGAGGTGAGCAGAGTAAGCCTAATTCCCCGTTTGGACTTCTCTGCATCCACCCCTTGGCGCTCATATGACTTTACGCAGTTGCGAGCGCCGTAAAACCTTACTAAAACAAATGAACTTTATTTCAGCCTTCCCCGATGATTGTTAAGGAGAGAAGCTACACATATATTGCCAATGTCAAGATTCAGCGACAAGTTGCTTATTTTGAAACTGTGGAAGTTAACTTTCAGGTAAGTTTTTAAAAGTAATTATTTGTCAATCGGTATTTCAAGACATCATGGATGCTTTAATTTCATTTATTGTAAAACTGTTTGTGATGGATCCAATACATGAAGCCTTCTCAAATAAATTAGAGCAGGTTCTAGGTATAACTGTGAAAACATGATTTTATTCTTGTCTAAAAGTGTTTGGATACAATGAATGTCTTTTTTTCTTCACAATATTGGTATGCTGGGCTCATTGGTGACGGCCAACAATTCTTTAGAATGTATTTTGACAGGGGCTGGAGCGCTGGATCTTTTTTTTTTTTTTTTTAAATCTCTAGATCTTACAATAAATTAATAATAGTTTACCTTTTCACTTTTTCTACTGTTTTGTATTTGGTATACAGGCATCAGTACACTGGTTGTTTAATCTTCGTAAAGACTTTTGCTTTTGCTAAGGATGGGCGCAATCCTATAATAGGCTCAGCCTAGTTTTTGTTATCTGCTCCTGGTACTATATACAACTGTTTTATAAACACACAACTAAGTCCAGTCAATGATGTTGCTGCAAAGAAGAAAAAACAACAACCGGTTTTGCGGTTATAACAAGTCGGTGCATCAGGTGAGCTTGAAAATACGTCGAGGAACTCATTATGTGACCTCAAGCAGTTTTTTCATGCTCGATGTAGTTTGAAAATATTATTATATCATTTCTTAGAGCACATGATGACATTTTGAGTATCCATTTAACTGTCTATATTCGGAAAAGTTTCATAATTAGTACTTGATAATTATGGTACATGTATTCCGTTCTGTGTGAACTATTTGCTCCTGTGATGTCCAGGTGAATTCAACCAGCGACTCTGGACTGCTGGGTGACGACATACTGCCGGTGTCGGGATCAATCACTTTTCAACCTGAAGTAAAAGAGGCAAACATACCACTGCAGATTCGTATTGACGAGGTAAGGCTTTATTTATTTATTTAATCATTGACGATGTGTTTGTTTGTTTGTTTGTTTGTTTGTTTGTCCGTCTGTCTGTTTATTTGTTGCTTTTGTTTTAAGACCAGCGGTACGTTTGTTATTGAAAAGACATAATTTTTGTTATTGGGAGAAAAGGGCGGGAAGGGGAACACAAAGATAAACATTGATCTAATTTGAATCTTAACGCATATTATATTTTTTGTTTGTTTAGTAATGATGATGGTCGGAAGTGAAAGTAGGTGTGGAAATTTGTTGTTTTTTGTGTGAGACAAGTACCATTTCAGCATTGAGATTAGAAGTACAATTAGTACATGTATACCCACTAATGTACTATTTTATGTTTCCAACGTCGAAACAGGAGCCAGAAGACAATGAGAGTTTCTTTGTCAGGCTAACATCTGCCAGTCGGAATGCCAAGGTTGACCCTCGTGCTGTTGAAGTTATCATTGCGGCGAATGATGCTCCTTTGAAATTTTCACAGGTAAAGCGGAGAGTGGCATTTTGTTAACAATATAATTGTTGCTGTGACAAATATACCGTCTACACAACTACTTATGCTGCTTGAAAACTAGTTCTGGAAGTCCTTATATTACTCAAACAAGGACGTTATACTGATAAACACTAACATTCTTACACATGTGCGCGAGTATATTCAATAACTTGCATGAACATGCGAGCATGCTCGCACTGAATAGCGCAGTACAAAATAATATGTATGCTCATACTCACTGCCCTCTTTTCCTCCCAGCCCCCCCCCCCCTCATTCTTTCTGTCAACTGACATATTATCAATCTTGAATTTATTGAGAAATCCTAGATTTTGAACAGCTGCTCTTGACGTTCTGAATTGGTTAATTTCCTCCAAAACACAATGCAAATTTGAATAAAAAATTTTTCAATACGCTCCCTCTCAACTGCCTGACTGAGCCTTTGGTAGTTCATAATTTATATTGCTGATTGAATCAGCACCTGGTGTCTCATGCACTGAAAGACTATCTGTTGTGATCTGGTGTGTTTGGTTAGTGCGGAATTTATTTCGGTTGAAGAATACTGGCCTACATACTGCGTGATGACAGGTCTGGACACAATTGATTAAGGAGAAATCAAAGCCAGCAATGGAATACGATAGAGGTCTGGGTACCACAGATTAGGCTTTCATAAAATCCTCTGTACAAGGAGAAAGATTTATCTTTTACAAGAAGTGTGGTTCGGACACAATCGTTACAATTTATGAGAAATATGACTTTGCATGAATAACAAAAATGATTGAGCTTACAAATTCAGCAGCACACATCTGTGCTGTTGTTGATCAAAGGGATTATCTTGTCATTGGATGAAGATAATATGTCTGGTGCAGTGTGTCACTGGTACATATAGTCCGTTCCTGCTATTTGACTTGCTGTTGTTACAAACCTTTCTCCATTGCTTTCTCCATGCATTAGCTTACTGTGATATGTCTAAACTTTGTATATGCGTTGACAGTGACATATATTTTTTGTTAGTAAAAGCCCAAGCGTTTCAACCTTAACATTTAGATATAATCTAGATCTTAGTGTTTAAGTTTAAGAATTCTGTAAGGCGAATATTTGCCCACAGAGTCTATCACGTGTGCCTGGGCACTTCTGTATTTGTGGACAATCAAAACCAGGCTTAGAAAAATCTACACGTCATTAAAACAGATGTAAAACGTGTTAGATTAGGTTTGTGTCTTGGTATCAATTTTGTTCCCGTTTTACTAACTGAACGCTGAACGTGCGTTTCCGTCCTCTCCGTAAAAAGTGTCTAAACCTGTTCAAAAGCCATTGGACTTTGAAGTGAAATCATTTTTGGAATTGTAAATGTATGTTTTTAGACACTCCTGTAATCTTTTCTCCGTATTGTTTGATGCTTTGTTTTGTTGCAGGCACAGTATCGTTTTGAAGAGGGGCCCGGGGACAAAACTGTGAGCATTGAGGTCACAAGAGGCGTAGCAGAGGATGGAATTGGAACTATTGGACCTATAGATAAAAAAGTTACTGTTAGTTTCTCCTTCTCAAGCAAAAGTGCCCACTCCAGCTCCGATTTTACTGGCAAAGATGGCAGCTTGACTTTTGCTCCAGGAGAAACTTCAAAGTTCATCAGTTTTGTTGTGAGAGACGACAATTTACCGGAAATTGAGGAATTCTTCACTGTTCGACTGAAAGACGTTGATGAAATGGTTTGTTTTTAGTACAATATAATGTATCGCAATGTCTTTCTTTAGAAAGAATGAACAGTTTCACACATAGATCTAGCTAAATGTTCGTTTCAAACTCTTCTCCGAGCCCTACTCGCGAGTGGGCCTAAGCCTTTTTGTGGTATAAAGAAGAACTGTTCTTAATAAATATATAACAATGCTTTCAGAAACCATTAGTGAAGTGTGCTGACAAAATGAGTTACTTCCCAGATTTTAGACCGATGGAAATAGAAACATCAAATTTATAGGTTGAAGTTTTACAATTTTTCAGTTTGAAATGACAAAAGACATGTTAAACTTGAAGAGAATGGCATTGGTTTAGAGTCTACAAATATGACCCTTGTGTTGATTTTTGGCTGACATCTCCATTCATGGATAACGAGAAGTAACTCATTTTGTTTGCACACCTCACATTATATAAGTGGATAGCTCTCCTCCACTGAGATCATTTTGATAGTGATGTTTTAACAGAAAATGTTAAAATGGTGCAACACTTATTACAATTTGAAATTGTCATTTCAGAAATGTCATATTTAAACATACATTATAATATATAAATTGCACTTTTGTAATCCTCGAACATTCACAATTTAAATGGTGCTTCATTTGTTGATGTTGTAGGTGTGTTTCCACGGAACAAAGGTAAATGGAAAAGCGGAGCAAAACAAGCCTTCTTCATGAGAGAGAAAGAGAGAGAGAGGGGGGGG